GCCATAAAGACTGCAGAGAGGATAATTGGGACTGAACTGCCTGCTATGGCCACACTGTACTCACACTGCTGTCGTAAAAGGGCAGAAAACATACTCAGAGACCCACGCCACCCAGCTCACTCCCTGCTCAACCACAAAAACTGCACCTACAGCCTCAGGCACAGCAGGGCGAACAGTATCATCACATACAGTTGTAAGAGCATCTCATCAACAGTGTTCTCTTGGGGGACCTGAGTAATAGCAGGACATTCTCTACCAAGCAATGGAAACAGGCCTGAATATAAACTGTGTTTTAGTATGTTATAACCCCTCACTACCTCACCAAGCATAATGACATATCCAACTCCACCATGTGAATTACTAAGTGCTATGTTTAAAGTTCACTGGGGAAAATACTATTACCCTATTTTTGTGTATTGCGGTTTTTAATTCTTTGTTGCCTTTATGTAAATTTTTTATTTTAAGACTAACTGTTCTTTCTGGCTTTTGACTCCTTATCTAACTCCAAAGGAGAGCTGCACAATACTGTAATTCCTATATTCCTAGACTGTCTGTTTATGCATAAATGGCAAATAAAAATCTTGACTTGACTTCAATTCACTATCAGTTTTAGTCTCTATATGGAGAGTGCTGAAAATACTGTTAATATAGAAAATGACCGGCCTTATCCTTGAAGTTCTTTTGGGCTGTTTGGCTCTTTGCTGCTGTAGAATTTAATCAGTTTCACATAAGCTGCTGCATTTGACCTTGGTCATAAATTTGCACAGAGAACTTCAAACAAAAGTTATTCCAGTTGTCTTCATAGTGATGCTAAAAAAGGGTCACAGAAGGCAGAAGCTGTAGCACCAAAGCAATGTCTTATGTCTCATTTTCCTCTCTCTCTGCCTCTGCATATGGCAAACATTCATACACTTAAATCTGAATACAAACAATCATTTTGCGTATATCCGTACGAGATTACAATAAGCATTTCTTGGCTGTCCTTGCCATGAAACTGAAAGTTGCTGTATTTTGAGATGAAAAACTTTACCTCTGGGATAAACTGACAGATGGCATAAAGATTGAAGAAAGGGCACCAGAATAAGAGATCATATGCCATAGCTCGGGGCAACAGAGGACACTGTGCCAAGAGAGGGGTTAGAGAGGGATATAAAGGAGGAACATGGAGTCTGAGGATAAGATGAGGCATTGCACAAGAGAACATATTCTAACCATGTCTCTTGAAGTCCTGGAGAAAAAAGAAGCCTGTGTCCTTCATTTGCAATCCCCACAAACTTTCTCTCAGTATTTGTTAAGCAGAGTTGGATGTGGGTGTTGTGATGTACAACTTGACTGAATGGACTTTTATTGATCACCGTGAACATTGTTTTCAGTTTCAAATAGTGTCCTGAGAGGTCAAACGAGCATTTTATTCATTTGCCATTCTAGCAACATCTGTGATTACACAGAAAACAGTTCAGATTTATACTGTTACTTTTACCAGATAACTAATCTTCTCACAAATTTCAGAGCAGCAGTTTTTATTACACATTTGGAAAGTGACTGACAATGCTCCCCTGTGCTTGCTTTTATGGTGCCATATTGACAGTTTACTGCATTTGAATATGTTTCACATGTACATGCTGTTCTATTATGGACATACTTAGGAGTTATTCTTTGAACAGAGTTGTGATGCATAACTTTCCAGTATTTGAGTGACTTGTCACAGCAGTCTTTTCTTTGCAAGCTTTTGCCTGAAATATTATGAGCTTAGGCTAAAAGCCTGCAGAGCCTCTCATCTTAAAAATGTGACGACTAACCCCTCCAATCAGTATGAGAGACTTCAACTGCAAGGAAAGAAGTTGCTGTCAGCTCAAAAGCTTGCTATTAGAGCTCGAACGGCAGCAGCGTCTATAGAGAAACCTATTAAGTCTGTCAAAGTGAACTATTTGTGATCAGTTTTGTTGCAACTCATTTCAACCCGATAATATTGAGTGACTTAACACATATAATCTACATTGTATTTGCTCAGGTTATCTGTTCATTTGTCCAGCCACCGACACTGTTCTACTAAGATTTTTAATCAGAAGAAAACGTCACCACTTGTGACCCCACTAAATCAAAAACGACATTATCAGCAATGCCAATACAAATTCTGTGTAGATATATGAGTAAGAATGACTTAAAACTGAACATAAAGAACAGAAAAAAGAGAGGAAAGGGTGGGAAATAAAAAGAAGAATATGGGATAACAATACGCGAACGGACTGACAGACACACATGGTGCAGGCGCCATAATGAAAAAACAAAAGGCCCTCAATCATGAATAAAAATATTCAGTGTTTTTTTGTTGTTGTTGTTTTGATGGCTTGTCTAAACCATTACAGCAAATGCAAAAATGCAGTTTGTCAGTCACAGGCTCAAAGTCTCATCAAAGCTTTGAGGGGGAGAAAGGAGTGGGAGTTTTATCAGTCAACATTATACTTGACTAGCACTCAACAAAAAACTGTACGTTGTACTATATTATATACTGTGCTACAAAGGAGTAGTATACTTTAAACCATGGATGGTAATGAATGAAGGACAGGTTGGCTCCAAGTGTGAAAGTTTGTTCTTGACTTTGGAAACAGCAATGTGATGAATGAAAACGGTGTGTGAGTGGACTGAAGTGAACTGAGAGTGAGTGAGACGGCAGAAGAGCAGAAGTGAGATTGATGAGGAAAAAGAACACCTATAGAAGCTCATCATTTATCTATATCAAAACATTATAGCTCGAACTTCCACTGAGCATTATGTTGTACTCAGGAAGACAAAGAGCCCTGAGCATCAGTGACATTGAGCTGAACTGCCAGATACACTGCAATTCACCTCTAAGGGCTCTCTGTCTACATGTCGTGTCTGCATCACACTGAGGCAGTAATCCACTCTAATGCCATAAGAAAAGACATGCTCCATGTTGCATAAGCAGTCCAAACAATTTTGGATTTTAGGGGGTGGCAGATTCTGAAGAGAGGAGGCTGGCGATATGATGGATGGTGGCTAAAGCCAAAGCTGTTGTGTTTAAAAGTGCCAGATGGCAGCATCACATACAGGACAGGTGTAGAGGCAGAGCTTACTTTAAGAGCCCCCTCTTCACTAATACCTATAAAATATGTTTAATGGGTAATATGAACATAAAAAGGGACAAAGGCATGCCTGTGTGTCCCATTAAGCTTGAAATTAACATTCTGCTTTAAGTTATTTAAGGAAAAAAATATATTCCCACCAGTAATCACTTAAGTGCTACCACTGAGATTTAATATTAAATCTCAAACTCTAATAAAAAGATACACTGGGAGTAACAAAACCACCTGAACACACACACTAGCTTAGTAAAAAGACAAGTCGTGGTTGCAGTAATGTCACCTTTACCTTTCATCTCCCCACTTTTGCAAACTGACCTTCTAACAGTTTAATAAAGTCCACAATACCACCAGGTACTAGGGTCAAAGCAAATATTATCCCATAAAGCTAAGTATGTCAGCAACTGTTCAGGCTTGTTTTTAATATAAATGTCAATTATAGTCACTTGAAGCAACACAGAACGGTTTAATAGCCACAAATAGGCAGGTAAAACATCACCCAAGTCTTGTTTCACTGAAAAAGGAAGAGAGATCTGACAGAGAGATCATGCCTTGACTACTGCAGCTTCCCACACACTTATTTTTCCAAGTGTATCCAGGCTTCAGTTAATCCTAAATGTCACAGCCAGACTCCTGGCATATCCACTCCATTTTAGCTTTACCGCATGACTGCTGAAATTTAAGACTGATTTTAAAATTTTATTGAGCGCCCTTGAGGCACATCTTAAATTAGCTCTATTACTGAGGTTTTAACTCTTTGTGCCACAGCTGAGCTTGAGAAATGTTTAAGTAGATCCCTGAAAAGATGGATATGACTTTCTGTTTGCACATCTCTCCGAACTCTTTTAAAAAGCACAAAAAATGCTTTATCTTTTAACTGTACTTTAGAGTATGCTTTTTTTGTATGTATATTGGGTTCACTATAACCTACAATGCCCTGACCAGTATCAATGCTTTTCTCTGCATATTGTTCACTCTTTCTTCATTTTATTTACTGTGTACTGTTATAAAGAAAGGGGAACATGTAAAAGTAGGAGTTTAACACTAGGGCCAGATTCTACAGCAGAAAACACAACTTTAGGGAAATGGGGGAAACAACAAGACTGAAACACATAAAGAAAGTATCAGTTAATCTTTTCTGAGTGAAAAACCTACATTCCCCTACTTAGAGAAACATGTACTGTATATTTTGGCATGAACAAGCACAATATGACTATCGAAGATGTCAAAAAGTCACCTTCCTCGTGGAACTGTATGGAAACTCTCTGCTATGCAATACACTGAAATAACTTAGCTGTGTGACAGATAGTCAACCAAAAAAACAAACCGAAAAAGTAATAAAGGAGGAATGTAACGCTGCCTTTTGACATTCTCTCCACTTGCTGTTTTAGTGCAAAAAACACAAAAACTAACAGCCTGGCACAGAGGTGCAATAGTATAAACGTGAAACTTTCACACAACTCAATACAAGCTGACAGGTGTATGAAAAAGGAAAATTATAAAGGAAGAACATCTCATACGTGCTGTTAACTGAACTGTGCTACTGGCAGCTACGACTTACTGACATCATCATATCATGAATTTTAAGCTAAACCACAGATAATGCTAACGCATTAGCAACAGGACAACAAACATGATGCCTTAGGGAAATTAAAGTCTAGTTTATAACAAAGCTCAACATACACAGTAAGCTAACGCTGCAAAAAAGTTGTATTATTCTTATTCATTTATAATTCAACCTCTTGGGAAAAGCTTCGAGCACTTACAGCCTGTAAGCTACGTTGCACAAATGACACAGACAGAACAAAACTTTTGTGTTAAATATCAAAAACAAAATTAACAAGGCTTGTAAATATTCATAGAAAAACAGGCAAAGGTGTCACATGTGTTTTCGCTTACTGTTGGTTTTGAGACGGGTTGGCTCACTGTTGCGGCTTCCTGCTTGGTTGATAGCCTTGACAAAGAAGATATAGCGGGTGCCGCTCTGCAAGCCGTGCACTGTGTAGTGGTTCTGCTTGATGTTAGGTACAATCATCCAGCTGTCTGCAGAGTTGTACAAACCTGGCATATCCACAGAAACACACACAGACACACACAGCATGAGTAACCAGGTTCTGTTCATACTTTCAGAGCTACAGTGAGTCCTGCTGAGAATCCTTTCAGTGATGTTCGAATGAGCAAGAAGAGCTCTCACCAAATCTATCCAGAACAGTGTGTGTTACTTTTTTTTTCTACAAACCTTACAGTAAATGAGTCGTTTCTGTGTACATTCTGATCCATTCCATTACCTTTCCATTGGGTCTATTATGGCATTCTCTCTTGGCAATATGTGCTCACTAAACTGAATCTATTATCCATTAATAACAAGGCACTCACACATTTCTGTAGTCAGCATCAGAGAGCTAAAAAAAGAGATACCATTAATATTCAAATGTATGGAAATGTGCACAATGCCAATATGACCCCCAGCTTGTGGGTGCTGTATTCAAAGAGACAGCGCAGTAGAGGGTTAAGTAAAGGCTGAGTTAGCTCTACAGCTTCTACACGCAGACATTTCAGCTGCTCAGCTGCAGCCGGCTGTTAAGGATAAAAAGAAAACCACAGTTCAGGCTGAGGAGAGGATTGTCTACAGTGGGGTGCTCTTTTGGCCTCTCGTCTTGTGTGAAATAACGAGGACGTTTTCACACATTAACATTATTGCAATTCTCACCTTAACTGACACATCACATTATCACAACTTCACATATGATTAAAAAAAAGAACATTAGCTTGGTTTCAAGGACGAAATACACAGATTTGAAATGCAAGGTGAGATGTGTGCATTAAAGTTGTGTGGAGGACTGCTGATTATTTGAATTGGATGCTGCAAAACCTGAATGTGGCAGTTAGGTAAGTGTGGTGTTACTGCATTTAGGATTCTAATTGATGTGTCAAAAGCAAACATGGTGTGAAATTTGCCACTTTCAATGCAATTTGCACAGATTTTATTGGTTTTGTCGAACAGGACAGGTGAAGAAAAGAATCTTAGGAGAAATTGTAAATAGTTTGTGTAATAAACCTTTATATATGGATTCCACCATGCTTAGGACAAATTGGTGCATTAGTACTGTCCAATAATCATCACATTTGATGGCGAGAAATCACTTTATGCTGCAAAAAGACAGAACTTTTTCAGCTATCCAGCCTTCATCAGTGTCACAGTCTCACAAAACAGCTGCTTCTTTAAACATTAAACACATTAGCCTGCACCTGGTTGAGTAATCGTGGATGAAACAATCCAAATTCTTAGAACACAGGTAAAAGTGACAATATATTCAAATCCATGTAAAGCTAAACAGCTGTCTTTCTAATCCAACTGCATCACAAAAGCACTGATATCACAGAGCTTCTCTCTTCATTGCAAATATACAAACTATATATGATAGTGTGTGTAACAACACACATTGATACTAAAGAGTTATTATTAACACCGCTCGCTAAACCTGGAACTTCACTAATGGTGTGATTAGCACAGCCATGATGTGCCATCAGGCGACAAGACAGAAACAATGCTTTATGAGCAAATGTTGGTGAAGCAGCTCTCAGAAACAACCAGTGACTGCCAGACCTTTTCTTCACCCACTTAAAAAATTCTGAATGAATTCAAAACCCTTGCCAAAATAACTGAAGCATCTTGTTTAGTAGAGCTACAGCTGAGGTTAATGTGTGCAGAGTTGAAAGTTAAATAATCATTTTTATTGTCTCATCTTTCACTTGCAGAACTGCAGGGAAATAAAAATCCTGAAAGGCACTTTGCTCTCAGGGCCACGTCTGTCATGTCCCTTCTGGGGAGGATACATTGTGAATTATTGAGCAACATGGCAACAGCATGCATAAGTAATAGTTGAGAGTCTATTTGTAAATATAAATACTTCACAGGATGCAAATTAGGCTTTTAAAAGTGAGGTGGCTTTAAGAATGAACGAGGTGAGGAGAGTCTTAAAGTTCCTCAAACTCTTAAAGACTGAAGGCTGCGTCTTTATGTATCTGCCAGATTCCACAAGCTTTTCTTAGACAAAGAATGCATTGCAGAGGGCATTCATCTTCTCTTTAGGATGGAGAGATAGCCAGCTCTACTGTGTCAGCTGTTCATCCTCGTTATGAAAATTCTGCTCCCCACCTGTTGATTATCAAAGTTAGAGAGGCTACAATGTTGTGTGATCATTCAAAGGAGAAAAACGAGAGAGATTAACTTCATGCCTGTTTTCCTTTTGATCTCCATGATACCTCTCTGTTTTCGTTAAACCAAATTAAGTCTACTGCTACATTTGCCACTAAAAACAGCTTTCTGACACTAGCTATCCTGCCTTGGACCTCAAGGTGTGGTGAGAGTAAACAGATATACCACTGCAAAAGCAGAACAAATGTAAACAGAGAGAAAATACTGTAGATCAGTTGATGTTTCACATTAAGTGTGTTTGTGTATGTACAGTAAGTGTGTGTCTATCTGTCTGTGTGTGTGTCTTGTTCATACTCTGAAGCAGAAGGATGATAAAGGAACAGAAACACAAAGTGCCCTGGAAATGGAAGAGGCTTTGTCTTTGATGATGCAATATAGAGTTAATGGTGGCACTGTGTTTGTGATGCTAGTCAAAGTCAAAGTGTTTATTGTCATATGCATAGCACAAAAACACATTTCCCTGTACAATGAAATTCTTACTTTGCCGTCCACACGAATGCCACACAATATAAATGAAATATAAAGTAGATAAATAAGTAACACAAAATCTAAGGCACTTTAAAGCAGCAAATGCAGAGATATAATAAAAAAATGTGTTGCATGTGTGTGTTTAAGTGCTAATCTATTCATTTCTTAAGGACATACAGACCATGCATCCAGTCAGACACAGCTCTCTGTGACTGTACTGAGGGCATAGTTGTTTGAACAGGTTTCCACTCTGTCTGAAACCTCATCATCATTTCATCAATCATGACTACAAGACTGATCCTGCTGATACTTTGACAGATTACCTGTTATGATACTGAGTGATAGAGATTTTATTTAGCTCTGGGCTGTTCTACTGCCCACTGCTATTCACCTGTGATAATCATATTAATTCTTACTCACAGCCCAGTGCTTATGAATACCCATGGAAAGACCACAGGGAGGTATTGGTTGTTATGGTTAGCATGCAGACCTCCCAGAAAAATGGACAATAGAAACTAGGGAAAATTGGCTGAAGTGGTGCTGAGATTTTTTTATCCGTGCAAAAACAGTTGCAGTATTTTGTCTGAAGTCAAAATGTTTAAAACGTGAACATTTTGGGTTATTTTTCACTTAATTTTGAGTAGTAAAAATGTAAATGTAAATTAAATAATCAACATTTTGAGCAGAATGGTTATTTCCTTTCTTACCAAGAGAAATCTGTAAGACAGATATCACATGTGTGCACTAAATATGAAACTATATAGCCAGGGTGGTTAGCTTAGCTTACTGTAGCATAAGCAGATAGACTGGATTACATACTATGAACTGACAAAGGTTTTTGTTACTGGAACCCTCGCGCCTCTACCCGGTCCGCGGAAAAATTTTCATGCATGAAACTGGTCCCTGGTACCAAAAAGGTTGCTGCTATATATTACATGGGAATACAAAGTAGAAACAGAGGTGTGGATGTTAAATATAAATGGATATTTGGTGGCTGGCAGATAAACAAATAGGTCAGTGACACTAGACACTTGAAACTTGCAAAGGGTCACAGGTAACACAATTAGAGTGCAGACATCTTTATTCGCAGTCGTATTCAGCTTTTTGACACTGCTTACGTTTCTCCATGGCCTTTGGTCATACTTGCTGATTCTATTTTCTGCTGCCGTGCTTGAATGATTTTGCAGAGGCAGGGTTCACTTAAAGCACCCCTTCCCCTCCTCATGGGAGTGCCAAGACTGAGGATGAGGCCAGGCGAGAGAAAAAGAGAGACAGGCTGGCGCTCAAGTGGGAGCATTTAGCCACTTGGAAAGTTTGAGAAAAACACCATGGTAAAAACTCAAGTGGCATGGCAGGCTAAATGGCTTTCTCTCTTTCTCAGTTTCTCCTGTGAATCTCTGAGGACTTTGTGGCAGCACACAGCTGAATATCTGAGTCATTCAGTGTATCACCGCTGAAATGTACCCTGATGTTTCAAATGGTTGGGGCACTTGAGTTGCATGTTAGACGGAGAAATGTCACAGAGGAGAGGAGTGGAGATGATGAAAGGCTCAAACAGGAAGAAAAAAGTGGAGATGCACAGCTGTGTGCGTGTGTGTGTATGCTTGAATGTGCACAATTATGTACATCATATCCTCCACATATCAGTAAGTGTTAATTTTCTACCCCGCTATCTAACCATTATCCATTCTGATTTTCATATGTTCACCTGTTCCTTTCCTCTTCCACAGGGGTCTTTCTTTCCCTTCAGTCATGGGGTGACAGACAACAGAAAGATGCTGATTAGAACTTTGAATAAGGATTGTGCAAACCCTCAAGAGTAAGACACGTGACTAGTAAGGCCATTTAAATGTATAGCACTGTAACATTTTAAACCCAACTGTAGGCACAGCGTCATCAAATTTGGCAGGACTGATCAGCAATAAGATCTGAATGTGCAAATTTGGCTACGAGTGAAAAGTGTGAATTCAATTACAGGAAAGCAAACATGGGTCATTCTGGTACGACATATAAAATATGGGCAAGATTTTCTTACATTTTGTCAAGTTGTCCAGCTAAGAACCAAGAGCTGCATAGACCACTACATGGTGGAGATACTATATCTGAAGTCTACACCACAACCTAATTCACTTGATAAAGGATGTGATTGCAGCGCTATACGCTGCACTAAATACATTGCTAACAACAAGAGACACACTGAATCTAACCTCTTCACCATGTTCTAAGTTAGAGACAAATTAATGAACCAAATGAGACAATGTAAAAACAGTTTTGATAGACAGTGCTCAGCTAGCAGATCCGACTTGCCTGCAAGCATAAATCATGATATTTTTTACAGCCCCCAATCAAAATTGAAACAGCTATGGCACAGTATCAGGAGAAATGGGGGAGGTTGAAAGAGAGCAGTGATTTTACATTTCTACACTACTTAATCAAAAACCAGATACAAAAAAAGAAAATCCATTTAAAGCATTCCCTCATGTTATATAAATATGTCCTATTTTTGTACTCTTGATAACACAGCTCTATTGCTCTATATATACAAACATAGAGGGCAACAACAAAGACTAAAGTTGGATGGAAAATTTAGGTTATGCAACTCTATAAAATATTGAACAGTCAGCCAATAATATGCAATTAAATGTGCCAAGGAACAGGAAAGCATTCATATGGAAGCTCAGTATACGAGTTAAATGATGCTTATCCACTATTTAGCCACAAAGACGGGGGTGTCAGGCCATGGCGTCATAAATGTTCAGAGCCCCACATTAAGGAACACCATTTATCAGACCTAACCTACCCTTAACACAAAGCATCCCTGAACCGTATCCTCATCTAAGCAAAGAGCAGATGTGGCTTGACACACAGCATCTGCTTTGTATGTGCTCAGGTTAAGCTGTGGCCGGCCCAACTGGCTTGTAATGGCACATATGTATGAACATATGAAAATAAGACTGAGGAGTACTGAAGGTTTTGTAGTGCTCCAGTTTATTTCTCTAAATGCAGAGAGGTCAGGGAGCTTTGTGTGCTGTGTTTGTGGGTTTTTTTTTTTTTTGGATTATGCACCAGTGTATCTGTGCTGGTGAAGACACGCATCTTTGCATGATTCCTACTTTCATAAACCACAACAAAAACAACATATTTCAGCCAGATTCCCAATCCTCAATCAAATTAAACTTTTAAACACAAGTCAACAAGGTTTTTGATCCCTCTTGGCTAAACCTTGATTAAAAAGTCCTATACTCACCCCTAGCTATTACTGAAATGCATCACAAATTGAACGAATGAGAACTTCCTTCTGGGCTTAAATAATGATTGCTTGCCATCTGCAGTACAGATCTCATTTTCTGTATTGGCACACCTGTGTGTGTGTGTGTGTGTGTGCGCGCGCGCATGACTTACTGATGAAATTTGTGTGGCCAGTGTAGATAGTGTACTGCAGCTCGTAGGAGGTAACGCTGAACTCGTCCTCTGACGTCCAGTGAACAGTGATGGTGTCATGGGAGGCAGTGCACAGCTCATCTCTTATAGATGGTGGGTTGGGAGCTACACGTGGAGGAAACAGCAACATGATTCATAATGAAAGTAAAACTTATAGTTAAAATAAGAAGTAATACAGGAGTAATAGTTTTAGGGGTGGAAATAAATAAAGTGCATCTTTAAATGCAAAGAAAGTCTTTTGGAAATAACAAAATAGCATAAAGCAATGGTCAGATATCGCCCTATAAGTGACACAGTATTTATACCAGCTCATGGCTGTTACAGATTTCTAAGTGCAGTTAAAAAACTGCTCAAACAATTAAGGATCTCTTAATCATCACAGTATAATACCAAGTCAATTAATCTGTCCATTTAGGAAGCACAAGTGATTGTGAATCACTTTCACCTGCTTTGGTGCAAATGAAGGTGATAACAGGTGTGATGGAGAGCAACAGCAAGAGAACCCCCAAAAAAGGGAATGGTTTTACATGTGGTGGCCACAGACAGATGCTCTCTCCTTATCCTTCTTGACTGATTCTTCACAAGGTTTGTGTTTTGTTAGTGTCCTTGTCACTACTTGTAGCATGAGGCACTACATGCAGCCCAATCAGGTTCCACAGGTCGTCCAGTTACACCAAGATGGCACATCCATATGTGCAGTTGCAAGAAGGTTTGCTGTGTCTCCCAGCACAGACTCAAGAACACAGAGGAGATACCAAGAGACTGGCTGTTACACCAGGAGAGCTGGACAGGGCTGTAGAAGGGCAACAACCAAGCAGCAGGACCAGTATCTGATCCTTTGTACAAGGAGGAACAGGAGGAGCAAGGTGAGAGCCCGACAAAATGACCTCCAGTAGCTACTGGTGTGGATGTTTCTGACCAAACTGTCAGAAGCAGACTCCATGAGGGTGGCATGAGGGCCTGACATCCTCTCGTACGACCTGTGCTTACAGCCCAGCACAGTGCAGCTCAACTGGCATTCTGCCATTGGTGCCCCGTTCTCTTCACTGATGAGAGCAGGTTGATATTGAGCACATGTGACACACATGAAAGAGTCTGGAGACGCTGTGGTGAACGTCATGCTGCCAGTAACAGCATCGAGTTTGGTGGTGGGTCAGTGATGGTCTGAGGAGCCATATCCTTGGAAAGACACAGACCTCCATGTCATAGCCAATGGTACCCTGACTGCTGTGAGGTACCAGGATGAAATCCTCAGAGCAACTGTCAGATGTCCCTCCTCCTGGCACACGACAACGCCGGGCCTTATGTGGCCAGAGTGTGTACGTAGTGTGTGTGGATGACAAAGGCATCGATGCCACTGACTGGCGCTCATGTTCCCCTGACCTAAATCCAATTGAGCACCTATGGGACATTGTGTATTGGTGCATCTGATGCCACCAAGTACCACCACAGACTGTCCAGGAGCTCACTGATGCCCTGATCCAGGTCTGGGAAGAGATCCCCCAGGACACCATCTGCCAACTCATCAGGAGTTTGCCCAGATGTGTGCATACAGGCTTCTGGTGGCCATACACACTTCTGAGTCTCATCATGGGCTGCTGTGATGAAATTCATGCAACTTGGATGAGCCTGTGATTTGAAAGTTTCACTTTGATTTTCAGTGTGATTTTGAATACAGCCATCAGTGGGTTGATGTTTTGGTTTCCATTGACTGTTGCTATGTCTAGGTTTTAGCTTGCATGCACAGGGCATGTGAAGGTTGACCGGCAGGTCTCATATGCCAAACGGTCTGAAAATGTCATCAACTCAGGAGTATTTTGTCCTGTCAAACATTAAAGTGCCCAAAGTATAGTTTCAAGACTTGTGATGATAGTTTTACAGACATAACTATTACCTGTTAGGTAATCTAGTCCTTCCAAAATCTTCTTCTCTCGTGAGAAATCCAGAGCAAAGTTGTCAAATGCCTCATTCAGGTTGACATCAGGGATGAGCACCTGGGAGGAGGCTGTCGCCATGGCAACCCTGCAGCGTTGTCAGGGGGAGGTGGGTTTGGAAAGGAAATGTCAGAAGAGCAGAAAGGTGATGGAATGGCGGTGGAGGTGGCGTGAGGCGAGAGTTCAGATGAGGTGTGGAGAGAAAGAAAAAGAGAAGAATAGAATATTAAATATGTGAAATTTTATATTAACAAACAGAAGTGTCTCTACCATCAAAACACATTCAAACCAGACTTTGACACACTGACTTCATAGTCAGTCAGTGTTTTGCTGCTCAGTGAAACCAGTCTGTCAATAAACCAGGTGTTGGAAAAAACAGCAGTCTGGGCCAAATAAAGGATATACGCCACACTAGGTGCAGATATTACAAAGATCTTTGTCTGTGCAGGAGACATGGCGAGAAATCTGCTGGCCTGCAAGAAAGGAGCAAGCGATGCAGGAATAATAGAAGTATGCAGGCGGAAAGAGAAACTACAGAATCGGCCCTCTGAATGAACAAATAGCCGGACATTGATTTTAGGAACTAGAGAGGTTTGATATAATGCTGATTTCACCAGCAGCCTTACTCTGAGATTGGATTTCATAGAAGGAAAAGGTTTATACAAAAAACTCATTGTAGAGCAGGGCTTTTGATAAAGAATAAACCAAATCTGTATTGTCAAATACATTAAAAAGAGTTTTATTGTGTGGCCCACAACATAACGACACAACTGACTATACAGAGAGTAAAAAAAAAAAGAAAAGCCATGAACAGGATGACTAGTTTCGTACACTTTGGTCTTGCCTGTCTTGCACTTGCTGTGAATGAAATGAAGTGAAACCAGACTCTTTTGGTTCATATAGTGCAAAGACAAAGGGACTCAAGGTGGCATGGAGCTACAGTGAATGGTTGTCTGTCTCTACGTGTACCTGCCTTTTCGCGTGTGCATAAGTACAGTGTCTAACCAGTAATTTACACTAATCAAGAAAAGGGTACGAAACTATATTACAACCTTCAAACAGCCACTGACATAAGAAAAACACACCATTCCACTTTCATTACTTGTTCTACCTCACTGTGTGTGTGTCCATACCCTACGTCACCCACCTTTCAGCTACATTTCGGGCGGTCTGGAGGAAGCGGGCGTGGTCGTTCTCCTTCAGGCTCTGTTCGGCTTGTGTGATGAGGGCGCTGGAGCGCTCCAGACACTGGCGACAGTTTGCAATTTGCTGAGCCAACTTACGCAGCTTCATCACCTGCCACAAACATAAACATAGTACTTGTTATTGTACATAGCCCTGGTTAGATGAGTCAGCTGTTCGGTTCTGTCTTAGTGATGAACACAGACGCACAACACAAAACCAGTGACGTACCTGGTCTGGTCCAAGTTTCAGAAATGTTTCTACTGTGCATCACTTTTTGGTCATATAGGGAATACGCTCTATCATCACCATGTCCGAAATTCAGATAAAAGCTGTTCTCTGGTGTTATTGATCTTTTATGCTCATCTCCCATGGCTGAAAAATAATTCTCTCTTTGCTCATCATAACTTCTGTTCTCTCCGCTGCACAAATTCAGGAAAATGTGCCTCAGAGCCCTGATACCTCCAAATGCATCTCAACTAGTTCAATGATTTCAGTATGTGGTATTCATTATTGTGTCAGTCACTAATCTACAGATTGTTCAACAATTCCAGATAATTAAGCTTTCCTGCCAAACTGCTCGATAATAAACCTGAAGCTTCCATGCAGCACAGTCGTACTGTACATACAGTAGACTGATGCAGACACATGCACAGACACAGACAGGAAAACACAGAGACAGGAAGACAAAGAATGCAGGAGAGAGGACACAGTCCTGGTTATGGGGTCAGAGTTGAAATAAACACACACTGACTGTTATTGTCACACTGACCTTATGACCATGGTGCACAATAAAATGGGAGAGGTGAGTAAACTAATGCATAGTTACTCTGTCTGGCATAAGAACAAGATAGTATGCTATTCTGTCAAACATTTCGGAAGAAACTGTCTTTGTGTCTGTTTTGGTGTACAGTGACTTCATGTCCAGGGTGGGAAGGGTCTGCAGAAATCTCTGCGCTCCTTCCAACCTGTGAGGTGTACAGGTCCTCTGCAGAGGGCAGGCTGGCACTGATGATTCTTTCAGCAACCGGTTAGGGCAGGCTGGCACCGATGATTCTTTCACCAACCGGTGAAGAGCTTGTCATCAAAAGCTCATAAAAAAAAACAAAAAAAAAGAGCTTGTCATCAAAAGCTCATAAAAATAAAAAATAAACCCCAGTACCTAATGCACACTCGCTTTCTACTGCTGGAAAAGCTGCTCTTGCTTAGAAGCCTACTATAAGCTGGCAGTTTAATGGAGTTTTCAATTGACATCTTAGCTGCTCTTTTCGCTAAGTCCACCATAATCTGTTGTCACTATAAACGACATTTGAGCAGGCTGTTGACTGCAAGGAGAGGGGAAGTGAGTCTGGTTTAATGGATGGGTTATTATTTTGGCAACATATGACGCACACAGCAATTTTAGAGATGATTATGCCATCTATCTCGGAATAATGGACAATATGGCACGGCCTGTGTTTGCATCTCATCTCCTGTAAAGTCTGCCTCATCTGACGCTAGAATGGAACAGTTACTTTAATCATAGCCTTAATAATGTAATGCCAGCCCATCTTTATCATTGTTTGTTCCTTAGTGCCTCAAGATTTTATGAAATAAGGCTGAATTCCATTTTTTTGAGGCTGCAATACATCTTCCTCACAACTTAGTAAACTACTAAGTGTATATTTTATAGTGAGTAGTGAATTAGGGATTTCAGACGCAGCCATAGAAACAGTAAATAGCTGGGTAACTTATTTAGGTTATACATTTCTCTCACTTATATTTTTTGTCAGTGCTTTACTGGCTTAACATGTCAGACTGATTTTGGCATTGCTCCTTAGCAATAAGAGCCATAAATGCTCAGCTATAAGAGCGATGTGTCAGGGAGATGTAAAAGTACTTTGTTTTATGCATTTAAACAAATTCCTTTTGACACTGTTTTTGGAGACATAGCCTTGCAAAATGAATGTAAAAGTCACACAATGGATTGTCAAAGAAAGCTGTTTTTAGACAAAGTGAGCATATTTTAAAAGGGATATGAGTTATTACTCTTCAAGGCTCAAAGGAGCAGTTTTCAGAATATAATGAAATACAGACAGACAGACAGACACACACACACAGACATGCTCAGGCCATGGGATGTGTGTGTCTTGTTTGGGCAGGGACAGATTAGGAATGACTCCTGAGTCTCTGTAGGGAGTGACAGAGCTTGTTAAGATGAGGTGAAAGAGAGGATGGGAGCATCTTGCACAGTTCTGTTTACCACAGTCAAGCCTGCATAATCCTGTTACAGAGTCATGTCTAAACACCGTCCTTTCTGACACAGTCCTTGACAGAAAAAAAAGCATTGCTAGTTTCTTCAAATGCATAAAAAAATCTCCTCTCCTTTCCTGCAAACATTCACTTTAACACACCTGTGATTATCTGAATTACTTAATGTGCATATGATTAATCTTTCTTGATCCCTAAACAGCTGCACGCTGACATCAATCAAGCAGTCCTCTCGTGTTTTCTGTGTTCTTCATTCTTACCTCTGTCTCCTGCCTTTCACTCCTCTACCCTCCGCGAGAAACCCTTTTGCAAACCCAGACTCTCTGGAGAACTTGCTCTTTGCCTACAATCACTGCAGACACACATTTCCTCTCTTTCACACATGTGCCAACACACACACCTACTTCAGTCCTTGAGTTCAATGTTTGGAAATCTTTCATCTCTCGACAAAGCTCTTTTGCCGCCTCAGAGGATCTTCCACAAGTACTTACTGTTAGACTTCACCTCTGGGAGGGCGAGATTCAGAGCCAAACCTCTGTCCTGAAACCTGAGGAGCTCATAAGTGGGACAAACCACCCATATACACATGGGCACCTGAACACACCCAAACACACACACATATATCTGTACAGTAGAGTCCTGGACTCTGAAATGGCAGTGAAGGTTCAGAACAGTTTTTTCTGCCATTTCAGATTCTTTCCACTCACACCCTCTCTCAGGCTGTTTGCATGTGGGCCAGCCCGCTGCTGCTCCCTCCCTCTTTCCTCACTTGTGTTTTTCATTTCTCCTGAAGCATCCATGTGATGTGTGTTTGGGTAAACAAGCAGGCAGTTACAGAGTCAACCTAACAAAAACAACACAGAGACCTGGATGAATATATTCAGTCCACGGCTCTGCTGCTCTTATATTAATTATGTTGTGCAGACCCACCACTCTACCACTGGACTGTGAACCAGAGTGGAATTTCTTAAAGATATGTTTGGCAGTTTGTTTGCTCCAGATGATAATGAGGTGTACGATAACGGTCTGAACTGAAGTATTATGAATTGATCAGTGTTATGTGAATTTTGTAACCTTTATATCTCTTTGTTAGAAACTGATAGCAGCATTGATCTTTTTTTTTATATGAATTTGGATCAAATAATTATATGCAATATCAAATTGGTCACTTGCAGCGGTGGAGAGTAACCAAGTACATTTACTCTAGTACTGTACTTAAATGCAATTCTGACATATCTGTACTTAGGTATTTTCATTTTTTACTGCTTCATACTTTGACTTCACTATAGCTTAGAAGCAAATATTATATTTTCACTCCACTACATTTATTTGATAACTTTAGCTACAAGTTACTTTTCAGAATCAAATTAACTATAAAAAATACAATATATGTAATCATCTGACTTTATTAATCACTGGTGGGAAATTCACAAAATACACAGTGGTGCAGTAAGATGTACTCCACCTTTATTAGCTGCAGCATTAAGTGTATAATTTAAGTGTATTATTAAGTATAATTTGATACCAATACTTTTGTACTTCTACTTAAGAAACATTTTGAATGCAGAACTGTTACTTGTAACAGAGTATTTTTACTCTGTGATATTATTATTTTTACTTAAATAAGGAATTTGAGTATTCCTTCCACCACTGGTCACTTGTAATGACAAGTCTACAGCTTTACCTTGGACTCCTTGATTTTCACCGCGATGACCTGTTTTCTCTGGCGGATGATCTCCACTAGCTCGTCACACTCCTCCACCAGCTTAGCTTCATGCATGGCTGTGTTCACCTGGAGAGAGAAGCAGGCACGCATATGAACAAACATTTCAGAAACCCTCACAGGGTGCTTGTTCTCAAACTTAAACGCAGGCACACTCACACACTCATGCACTAAATCACACAAAGGCCTACTCTTCAAGCACAACAGGAAACATAACTGCAGCACTGCTATAATTTTTTGAAAACCAATGTCGCTATGTGCAAACGGTTGTGAGTTTGTTAGGCAATCGCTAACAGTCGACCAGCTACAGATGGTGCAAACGCAAACAGAGAAAAAGTTTGTGACGGTATGCGATGTTAGTTCTTGGGGGAGCTCCCCAGTGGGGCAGTCCTTCAAACTCGTCCAAAAGCACCTAATGTGTCTCTGTAAGGAGTATTTTAAGATTTAATATGATGATCAACAAATAAAACATGTCATTCTTTTTGGGATGTCATTATGTATTCTGCACACAAAAGCCACCTCCAGCAAGATGTGCACCTGGATTTCATTTTAACTTGTTAGGAACAAAAGAGAGATAAGAGATTTCCAACTCTTTAATTAGGTTACTGGAAAGACCATAATTCATATTAGCACACATTGATCCAGGAGGGAAAACCTAGAATACATACAGCTGATGAACAGTACTGTACTACATTGTGGAATGTAGATTGAATTACATTTTTCAATTGTCTAAAATGTTCAGTTCCTTGCTTGAGGGAAAGGCTGTCACAGAATTGGGTACATTGCTGCTGGATTTAAACCACCACTTGTTCTTGGACATAACAGCATTATCTTGCTGCTGCACTGCATATAGGAAAGATATTCGTCCAGAGCAGTATACCAGACACCCTGGATCCCCTGCAGTATGCCTACCGGCCACCTCAGATGCTATCGCAGCTGCCCTCCACTATTCCCTTTCTCACCTGGAAAATGGAGACTCCTACATCAGGATACTCTTCATTGACTACAGCTCCACCTTCAACACAGTTGTCCCCAACAAACTCACCCACAAACTGTCCACACTGGGTGTGCACCCTACCCTCTGTGACTGGCTCCTGGACTTTCTGACTGGCAGGCCCCAGACTGTCAGGATTGGCAATAGGATTTCAGCCAGCATTGTCACAAACACTGACACCCCACAGGGATGTGTCCTCAGTCCCATCCTCTACACCCTGTTCACCCACGACTGTGTCGCCTCCCACAAAGACAACATCATCCTAAAGTTCGCGGACGACACCACAGTGATAGGTCGCATCACTGGAACGACGGGGGGACGAAGCAGCCTACAGTAGGGAGGTTGCCGGTCTGGTGTCATGGTGCAAGGACAATAATCTCACCCTCGACATGGACAAGATGAAGGAGATGATAGTAGACATGAGGCAGGAGAGGAGAACTCATCGCCCGCTGTTCATCTGGGGGCTCGAAGTGGAGAGGGTGAGCAGCTTCAAATACCTGGGCGTCTACATCAGTGAGGACCTCACTTGGACACTTACAGTAAGACCACACAGCTGGTCAAGAAGGCCCAACGGCGGCTGTACCTCCTGAGGAGGCTGAGGAGGTTTGGCATGTCGTCTTTGCAACTTCTACAGCTGCATCATTGAGAGCATCTTGACCGGCTGCATCACTGTCTGGTATGGCAGCACTACTGCTATGGACCGCAAGTGCCTTCAGAGAGTGGTAAAGACTGTTGAGGAAATCACCAGGACTCCACTGCCCTCTCTGCAGAGCATTTACCACCGCAGGGTGCGTAGAAAAGCTGCCTCCATCCTCAAAGATCCCACCCACCCCCAGCATGGACTGTTCACACCGCTACCCTCTGGCCGGAGGTTCAGAAGTGTGAAATGCAGGACCACTAGACTGAAAAACTCTTTCTTTCCAACTCCTAAACAGCCTTCTCAGGATATACCTCATGTAATGCCACCTGTACTGTTTACATACTCAGTTTGCACATGCATGATTGCACACTCACTGCTGAGTATTTACACTCCACGGCTCCCACGTAGCATATATTCTCTCTACATTATATTGTGCTCTTGTTGTATTTTTATTATGCTTTTTTTCACTTGCTGCTTTAAAGTGCCTTAGATCTGTGTTACTGCTTACTTAGATTTGTGTTATTGGTTATCTACTTTATATTTCACTTGTATTTTGTGGCATTCATGTGGAAGGCAAAGTAAGAATTTCATTGTACAGGGAAACATGTTTCCTAACTGTGCATATGACAAATAAACACTTTGACCTTTGATTATGCTGAAAAAAGTTGCATGAAATTTGAATATCACTTATTTCTAAAGCATGTTTATTTCACCTTTTATGATCAAGAAATAGGTTAAGGATTGTTGGAATATTCATTAAAAAGGTGCCTGTGTAGACTCTCATTAATTCACAGACAGAATATGCTTACACCATGACAATTTAATAGATTCTGTGATTATTTTAAGCATAAAGTTGTCAAGGCAACTCATCATCAGTTTAGCATCTCAGGCCAACACTAACTGAACAGCCAACTTCAAACTTGCGTGGGCGGGTGGTTGAGTGTTACTGAAACAAGAGTTCTTGCTGAATCACTACAAACAGGTCTGCCAACTGTAAATTACAATTATAAAGACACCAAAAGCTCCTGAAACAGCTAAGGCAGGGATCCAAATGAAAAAAAGTTCTGATGTCCTACTGCAACTTTACTGCTGAAGAGAGCAGAACACTGATCCTGCAGTGTTTTCCCCATCCAGGGACATTTGACCCATCCCAATGAGTTTCTATTCATGGATGGATGGTTTACTACAGAGTTGGCTGTGACTGCATTACACTAACAAATTTAATATAAAAATCTGTGAGTTACAAACCACGTCACTCCTCTGGAAAAAAAAACTGCTTTGTCTGCTCTAATAGGTGCAATTCATCACAAACTGAACATTGTGTTACTGATTTCAGAATGTGAATAGTCTCCATGTAGCATCCAAAATAAGGGTTCCACAGAGTTGTACTCAGAGACGTACTGTCAGTGACACTCCTCCACAGTGATGACAGGAGTCACCATTGTCTGTGGGAGCCAATTTTGAACAAGAGTGAAATGACAGATGTACTCCAGAATACACTCAGAAAGAATGATGTTTGTAGGAAGCTTTCACTCACACAGGTGACTACTAACGATCCAGAAACGACATACTGGAAGCACAAAGACACACACCTATAGCTATAGCTAGCACGGTCAAACTAAAGGAGGGTCGGCATGCTTTCTAGTTCTTTTTCAAACTTATTTGCTGTATATCTGTTTTGTACATCTATTTTTCCATTATTGGAACACTTATTGTAAGTTTACTTATTGATCCTCTTGCTTCTTAATCAATTGTGGTTCAGTAGGTAGAGCAGTTGTCTCCCAACCAGAGAGTTGGAGGTTTGAATCACGGTTCCTGTAGTCCACATGTCGAAGTGTCCTTGGGCAAGACACTGAACCCCCAACCTCCTATTTGTTGTGAGAAATATTGCTTGCTTACATACACCTGTATGTTTAGAGGCTGAATCAGTTCATATGTTCTGAAAACTACAAAAAATTTGTAAAACTGATGCTTCTAAATAACTAATTGTGTGTTAAGTCAAAATGAAATTAAACATTTTCTATGAAGTTACAAATAAGAGGTCATTTTAATTTTATTGTCACTAGTCTATTTATATTGTATTGTTATTATATAAACAGAATTCATTGAGCTTTGGGTGTTTAAATTGTTTCATAATTTCACCAGCTGTGGAGTTTGCCTTTGTACTTTCACAGATACGGTAATTTAATACCTTTAAAATATTACTATTAAATGTATTCTTATAGTGGTAACAGTCTGGCACTACAAATCTACAGTGTGATTTATCTCCATGTGATTAGTCTCTCATCCTTACATTTTACAGGGTTGTGACTTTCTGTCATGCTGCAGACAATCAAAGTACTTACCCCAGCAACCAAATTTCACTCATCACTCCACAAAGCTCATTACACTGTGCCGATCCACTTAAGCCTCATTATTCACGCACATGCATACACACGCACATGCCAACAGAATCTATTCTGCAAAGAGCCATCTCGTGACTGCAGGTTAGTAATTAAGCAGGATAAATGCAGCCGTCTGGGATCACTGTGAATTACAACTGAGCTACTTGGCAGCTTAGAGTTACAAAAACAATCTTCATCTCCATCCTCCTCCTCTTTCACCTCAGCCAGGATCTCATCCTCCTCACTTTCTTTCAGCTTCTGACATTATTATTCACTCTCTACACAAACTCTGTCACCTACCATGCATCTCCCTATTCATCAGGCTCCTCTGCAGGTGCACTGAAATCCCAGTGCCAAGTCCATGTTAAAGTGTACCTTTATTATTGGAGTATGTAAAGAACTGAAGACACTTTCAGTGTTAAAGACTGTCCAGCTGTGAAAGCACTGTCTCAGAGAGCAATAGAAAAAAAGTTGGAAATGGTCCATGTGCAAATTTAAGATACCAGAAAGTGGAATAAAGGGATTTTATTTTCATATTTCTTAGGAATTACACTTGATAATAAGCAAACTAACTGGGACTGTTGTTTCTTATTGCAATTACTGCAAACAAATCTACTCAAAATCTTTCGTATCCTGTCCCCACTCAGTTGCACATGCATTTTGTCATATTGTAGCTGACCATTATGATCAAAATGCAGCCTACAGAGTGTGCTCTGACAGCAGAAACATTAAATCAAAAGAACTGTCCGTTACAAACCTAAGCCGGGAAGAACAGCTTCCTCTGCCTCTCTTACAGGACTGTTACAGTGAGCCGATACTTATGCTGTACTTCCAAAGTGTGCATCATTAGACTCAGCTCAGCTCCGGCATTATGTCAAGGTTAAACATACATCCCCATAGTTTTATGCCGTGGAAGCAAATCTTGTATTACTTAAAAGATAAAATATAACAAAGTGAAATCTTCATACATTCTTCTGGTTTCAAATGACTGACAGTCGCCATTCACCAGCCACTTGGTGTATTACCACACTATACTGTGATTTTGAGAACA